CCGAGGCCATGGCCTCCTCTAGTTCCTGTCCAACCTCTTGTGTTCCTGTCCTGGGTCTCTCTAAGCACCAGCCCAAGTGGGCTGCTGTTCACAACGATGTGCTTCTCCCACCTACAAGCCTCCTGATCAATCCTTCCTACTCCTGCTCTCTCCACCACCCAACACCTACTCATGCCTAGAGACCCCCCCCCATTCTGAGGCCACCCGCTTGTGTGTAGCCAGCTGAGTCCCTGCAGGTAGATATAGTCACTTTTGTCTATGCCTCCAAAAGTAGCACTCCGTCATACTCATGTGACCACGCTTCTCAGGGTGCCTGGGTGCTTCAGGCAGTTAAGCATCTGCCTTCAGCTCAGTTCAGGATCTCAGGGTCCTGGAATCGAGCCCCCCGCCCCACATTGTGGCCCCTGCTCCCCAGGGAGCCTACTTCTCCCTCTCCCCTACCTCCACTCATGTTTTTTCTATCTCTTTCTCTCTCAAATAAATAAAATCTTTTTTAAAAAAAAAGATGGAGCTTATCACTTCAAAGCAGAATTGAGGGTCTAATGACAACAACAGTTATCTTTTATTGAGAGTTTAGTCTGTTCTAGGAACTACCCTGGGGGCTTGACACACACATCTCATTTGTAATCCTAAATGTCAGGTAGCCACTTTCTATATTTTTATTGTCCCCATTTTCCTTTAGCTTGGCAGATAAAATAAGGTAATGGCTAGGGACGTGGGCTTTGGGGTCAGGGAGACCAAGCTGCAACTCCCAAGTCCATTGTTTGCCATCCGAGTAACTCTAGGGAATCTATGTAAGCCTTTAAAGCTTCCCTCAAAGAAGGGAGAATGGACCTACCTGATATGCTTCAGTGAGGTTAAAATGAGCTTTTGTCAATAAAGCCGTTGGTGCCTGGAGCATCTGTATGGGTTCAGCCCTCAATAAATGCCCCAGGGAGGACCCAGGGGACAGAGGGCTCATTTGGCTCATCTTAGCATCCCTAGTGCCTAGCACTGTGCTGACTTCAGTGGATGCTGCTTACAAATCTGGGGTGATGTTCCTCCACTGCATTGCAGATGGACATCTCGGAAAGATGTGGCCCTAGGGATTTGTGGGCCTCCTTAAAATCAGCCTCTATGGAGAAAAGCATGCACCACAACGATGCAGTGTTGCCCCTCCCCCACACCCCATACACAGACCACAGAGAACCGAACGTGTTCACTTTGGCTACACCATCAGCTGGCGTTTCTCAAATCTTTGTGTCCTGTGCATGAGATGCTCATGCCATCAAATCCCATTCCCCACAGGCTGTCTGCTTTCCGAAATAGTGGAGGCCCAGATACTGGTTGCACGTGGAATACAAGCTCTGAGGTCTCATTTGGCGTTGGGAGCACTGGGTTCTGTGACCCATTAGGTATCAGTTACACTGGCACATTGGGAAGTGTGTGTGAGGAAGGAACCTGGTGCCACCATGGCACTGGGACACTGTCCTTCTAGAGTCCAGTGGGCCAGCTATCTGGCTGTCGTCAACCATAATAAAAATCTAATTGGGGATTTAGAGGTGTTGCTTCCAACTTCACTAGAAAATGTTGACTCTCGCTCCTTTTCTTTTCTTTTTTTTTTTTTTTTTAAAGGAAGGAGGGCAGAGGGAGAGAGAGACTTCTTCTTCTTCTTCTTTTTTTTTTTATGATAGTCACAGAGAGAGAGAGAGAGGCAGAGACACAGGCAGAGGGAGAAGCAGGCTCCATGCACCGGGAGCCTAACGTGGGATTCGATCCCGGGTCTCCAGGATCACGCCCTGGGCCAAAGGCAGGCGCTAAACCGCTGCACCACCCAGGGATCCCTGACTCTCACTCCTAACTCTGGGAAAAGAACAAGGGGTGGTGGAAAGGGAGGTGGGTGGGGGTTGGGGGTGACTGGGTGATGGGCACTGAGGGGGGCACTTGATGGGATGAGCACTGGGTGTTATGCTTTATGTTGGCAAATTGAACTCCAATAAAAAAATTTTAAAAAAAAGAAGAAAAAAAAAGAAAATGTTGAATCTCAAACATTGCACAGTTGAATCTCAACTAAGCACACTTGGCTCAGCTGCAAAGTGGTTTTCCCAGGAGAGCGTTGCCTTTGACCCTGGTTTCTTAAGATACAGGCTTCTGTTTGGATGGGGTTGCAGGATTTTTTAACATGAGTTACGGCATCTCAGTGATGATGATCATGATGATGATGACGTTGATTGGAGGAAGTATTCTGTCACTGGGCCATCAAAACCCACTCAGGCCTGATATTACTCGAAACCCCTAAGGGAGGGATCTGCCCTGTGGAGATTCACAGCTGGGGTATGGGTTGTTCTTGGGTAGGTAGGGTCCCCCTCATCCTCTGTAGGGTCCATCTTCTGCTCCTTTACCCCTACATCCATATCAGGCAGGAAGAAAGGACAGCAGGGTGGGGAACGGGCTTGAGCTTGGTCCTGTGGATGAGGTGGCAAGTGGTTCCTATTCTGTAGCAGGAATGGGAGGAATTCTGAGGAGCAGAGAAGTGAGTCTCCCTGCACCCAACTGTTGAAGAGGGGGCAGTGGTAGGGTATGAGAGTCTGGAAACCAGGAGACCTACATTTGGGCCCAGCTCTACTTGGAAGCATCCAGTGGCCTTGGGCAAGTTACCTTGTAAAAGCAGCAGTCCCCGCCTGCTATGTCACAGCACCATATCCTGGGTGCTGGGGTGTACTTTCATGAGGTCCCAGAAGATCAAGAGATGGGCTGTACGTGCCTTACAGCAGACACATGTTCACATTCTTGGAGCACCTTAGATGCTAATACTTAGGTAGGAGTTTTGGAGACAAGCACTCCCAGTTTATTTATTTATTTTTGGTTTTTAAATTGTTATTTAAATTCAGTATTTTTATTTTAATTCAGTATTAGTGGTTTCAAAAATAATTCAAGGATTCATCAGTTGTATATAACACCCTTTGCTCATTCCATCACGTGTCCTCCTTAATGTGCATCACTCAGTTACCCCCTCCCCTCACTCCCTTCCCCTCCAGCAACCCTCAGTTTGTTTTTTATGATTAAGGGTCTCTTATGGTTTATCTCCCTCTCTGATTTTGTCTTGTTTAATTTCCCCTCCCTTCCCCTATGCTCCTCTGTTTTGTTTCTTAAATTCCACCTATGAGTGAGATCATACGATGGTTGTCTTTCTCTGATTGACTTAATACGCTTAGCATAATACCCTCTAGTTCCCTCCATGTCGTTGCAGATGGCAAGATTTCATGTTTTGATGACTAACATTCCACTGTGTATATATATATATATATATATATATATATATATATATACCACATCTTCTTTATCCATTTATCTGTTGACAGGCACCTGGACTCTTCCCATAGTTTGGCTCTTGTGGACATTGCTGTAATAAATATTGGGGTGCAGGTGCTCCTTCAAATTGCATTTGTATCTTTGGGGTATGTAATGCAAGTGCTAGGTCTAGGGTGGCTCTATTTTTAACTTTTTGAGGAAACCCCATACTGTTTTCCAGAGTGACTGCACCAGCTTGCATCCCCACCAGCAGTGTAAGAGGAGGGTTCCCCTTTCCCGGCATCCTCCCCAATGTCAGTCCTTTCCTGACTTGTCAATTTTAGCCATTCTGAGGCGGGGTGTGAGGCAGTGTCTCAGTGCAGTTTTGTAGTTCACTGACAAGCACTCCAGGTGAGTGAAGACGCTAAATAACTTAAGGAGCATCCTACACACTGCAGACAATTCAGAGAGCCCATATGCAAACCCCAGTCTGGAAGGCCCCAAATGCAGACCCGGGAAGGTACCCCAAGGCAGGGTATAGGGTCTCCAAGGCGGGCAAGGGCACACGGGAGGTGGAGTGGGGAAGCATCACCAAGGGCCCGGGAGGGGACGTGGTGGTGGTGGCGGTTTGATCGCCATGCAGATGCCCAACCTCCTGTTCTCGGAAGGTAGGAGGAGCTCAGGGCCGGGAGCTGAGCGACCTGTGCTTCCATGATAAAGGGACAGTCATCCGAGGAGCAGAATGTCCAGGAAGGAAGGAGGGAGGGAGACCAAGGAATTAGGAGGCTCCTCCTTCACTCGCGTCCTCAGCTCCCCATGCACGCCACGTGGGTGGGAGCGTGTCACACACACCCACGCGCCCACAGCCACGCTCGCCGCTCTCCCGCCCCGGCCGGGCCCATCTCCGCGCGCCTCGGGGCGCTGGGCCTCAAGCCGCCACGCCGCCACCTGCTGCTGCTGCGTCCCCAGGGAAGGCGAAGGAGCATCTCCGCGCCTCCCGGGTCCGCGCCTGCCCCCTCCGCCCTGCGGCCGGGCTGAGGCCGCGTCTTCCCGGGGGCCCCCTCCCCAGCGCCGTGGGGAGGCGGAGGGAGGAGCTCCGGCCGCAGCCGCCCGCCCGCCCGCCCTCCTCTCCCCCTCCCCTCCCCTCCCCTCGGCTGCCGCAGCCCGGCTCGTCGCGCGCGTCAGCGTGGGCTCCCCGGAGCGAGTCGCTAGGTAACGGGGCCGGCTCCGCAGACCCGCGGCCGGGGAAGCCCGCGCGCCGTCAGCAGCCGCGCCTCGGGGCGCGGAGGGGCGCACGGACCGCCTCCCCGCGGGGCTGCAGACCCCGGCCCGCGCGCCGCCCCTCCAGGGGCGCCCCCCTCCCCCCAGCCGCGCGGGGCGCCGCCGCCCAGGTGCCCCTCCCAGGCGGGGACCCCGCCGCCGCCCAGGCGCCCCTCTCCTCCCCGGCCGGGGCGCACCGGGTGGGCGCCCCCCCCCCGCCGCGGTCCCCGGGCGCCGTGGCCGCCGGTAAGCTGGGCTGGGGGCCGCGGCGGGGAGGGGGCGCGCGGAGCCGGGCACCTGCCGGCCATGTGCTAAAGTTTCTGGGGCTCGGCGCCCCGCCGGGCGCGCAGCGGGGCGGTGGGTGGGGCGCGCGGTCCTGCGGGGCGCCCGCCGCCCCCGGCCCCCGGGTGCAGCCCTGCGCGCTCTCACGCTCTTTCTCTCTTCCCCTCGGCGCTGCCCCCCCGAGGTCCTCGCGCCGAGCCCCTGCGCGGGGCATGAGGAGCCCCGGGGCGCCGCCCGGAGACGGAGAGGACCCGGCTGCGCGCACACCTCGCCAGCGGCGGACGGGGACATGAGCGGCGCGCGCGGGCTCCAGCGCCCGGCGGCCAGCCCCAGCCCGCGGCGGCCGGCGGGTCGGCGCTGCCCGGGAGAATGAGGCAGGAGCCCGCGGCAGCCTCCTCCTCCTCCTCCTCCTCCTCCTGCTGCTGCTGCTGCTGCTCTTCGCCTTCCTCCGGCTCCGGCGCCCCGGGCCCCGGCCGGGCTGTGGCTCTGCTGCGTGCCCCGCGCGCCCCCCGCCCGCCTCCGGATGCGCTGCTCGGTAAGCCAGGCCCTCCGCCCGGGAACAAAGCCCCTCAGCCCGGCCCCGAGGCCTCCCCTGAGCCCCCTGTCCGGCCCCCACCGAGAGCCTGGCAGCCTGCGGGGCTTCCCATTGAACCCCCTCCATGTCTTCTATCCCCAAAACCCTGCCTGGGAGGCTGAACCTCCAGGGCGCCCTCGAGACCCGGGGCTCTCCTGTGCCATCGGGGAGGCCGATGCGGGCTTGACACGCAGGCAGGAGACCTGTTTGGTCCAGAGAAGGATATATGCATCTTGGTTCAGACTCCTCTGGGGGGCGGGGTGGGGTGGGGGGGACACCTCATCTGTGGGGGAGACGACTCGTGTATAGTGACTACGTAATGGGTGTCCGAGTTGTGCTGGGTAGCGTGCCTCCGAAACACCCAGGGAAGTCGGCTCCCCGTGTTCCGTGGCTCAGATTTGGAAACTGAGGCCCGGAGAGGTTGAATGACTCAATCAAGGTCACAAGGCCAGGATGCGAGAGACCAGGATTGGAAATGAGGGAACCCTTTCTGCCAGCCTGACCCCTTTGTAGCAAGCACACTTGTCCCAGTTCTGCTAACTGCCTCCTTCTGGAGTCGTCGCATGTGTGTGGAAGCACTTGTGCCCGTCAGTATCTGCTTGGGGGGAAATAAACTGCCCATAGCATGTATTTTTTTGTCCATTCCTCCGTCACGTGGCTAACCCCTCGTGTGAACTACAAGCATAAGATTACTTCTCTTAGTTAAGGGGGGGGGGTGGATAACATGTTCCCCTGGGTGCTCTCTTTCCTGTGATCCTGTTTCTCTCCGGCCTCTTCAAGGAGGCCAAGGGCAGGCTTTGGTTCCTCTCCCGAGCCCCTTCTAGGCTGTGCCTGCCGGCACATGCTCAGCCTCAGAAGCATGTCCTAAACCTTTCTGTGGGGTGAGGGCTAATCAAGGCTGCCTGCCCCGGATTGTGTAAGTCTTAGAGATGGTTACTTAACAAGCACTGGGGCTAATCCCAGATGGCCACGGTTCCAGAGCCGACCCCAGCCGAAATTCTCTCTCGGCTCACACTTGCCAACCCTCTGTGGCAGCAGAACTTCACACTGGCCAGCCCAGAAGAAACGGGGAGGGGACTTGATGTAGACATGGGGCTTTCTGCCTGTATCCAGTTCTCCAGCTTGGAGCTTTTCAGTTTGCTTAAGTGCCTTTGGGCCGACACTGAAGGGGAGAAACCACCCAGAATTGTTTGGTCCAGGTCCGAGCGACTTGTTTAATTGATCACATGTCCAAGTGTTAGGCTTGGTGGTGGTGGTGGTCTCCACGACAGGTACAGTGTTGATATCAGTGCAGGGAAAGCCTGTAGCAGACCGGGGGGCTCAGTTTCCCCATTCCCCAGAGTCAGACTGGATGACTTCTCAGTTCTTTTCCAACTTAACAGTCCTGCAAGCCGGAGGAGAGTGGGTTACTGGCCTGAACTGGGATGCGTGAGCTCATGAGACATAGACATTTGGACGAATAGCTCTGCACTGAATAAGCTGTTGATTTCCAAGAAGAGGACGTGGTCAAAGGGGGGAGCTGCAAGATTCAGGTTCCACTCGGAGGAAAGGAAGGCTGAGCGGTGCTCTGGTGGATTATTTATTGGTCTAAAGCATGGTGGCTATAAAATGTCCCAAGGTGCCAGATTAGGGTTATGGGATAGGTTAGGCTTTTCATTGGGAGAAATGACATTGGCCTCTAGGAACTGATAAAATACAGTGCATCAATTAGAAGTCCAGCTGGCTAGAAAGTGGCAAGCTGGTGAGCCTGCCTGTCCCTTCCAGCAAGAATCCATCTTAGTTGAATAGGTAAGGCCTTCTCAGCCTAAACAATTAGCCACATAAATGAAGTGATTTTTAGAATCCCCCCACTCCATTGATTGCTGGTTATATTAGTGACAGGTGCAGCCCACCTCAGCAGGGACGCAGTGGGACTGTGACAAAAAAGGTGGCCATAAGGATGTTTAGACTCTGCCTTGCTCTGTGCCTGTTGCAGCTACATCCATCAACCTGACCTATGGGCCCTTGATAGGGTTGTCATAGGTCTTTTAAAGATGTGGATTAATGAGCCTTTTAAAGTGTTACTGAATCCCAAGTGAAATGGGCATGTCTCACCTTTTTCTCAGAAACTAAGCTCCCAGTGGGTTTTGTGACTGCTTCAGATTCACAAAACCAGAGCAAAGCTTTTATTTTGACAAGCTCATAGGGTCTGCAAACAGCAAGTAATGCATCTCATATTGGGCTTAATCTCCCAGCATGGTGGGTGTTGTGTGTTTCAGCTCAGAGTAGCTAGCTGGGCAGGTTTGTATAAACACGAATGCAGAGAAACAATCTTTGTTGAGTTACTTTTGGAAATGATTGTGTCATTATGAAAGAACAATTTTTATGTCGTAATTCACACTACTGACACCCAAAGCCAGGTTACACGTTACTCCTGTTCTTGATAATTTTATTTTTAATTCATCATTTCTTTCCCATTTTTTCCCATTTTTTTCCCCCAGCATGAAAATGTACCATCAAGAATAAATTCACCCTTTTCAATTTTGGGTTTGCCTTAAACCCATCTCTTTTTTGGAAGATATTTAAGGCTGAGCTCGTGCACACCATACATACAGAGGCTTCATGTGCAAATATATTTTGGGTGCCTCGGTTTCTTTTGGGATGACAGGATGGGTTTGTATCACAAAGGCATAACAATGAGGCATTCTCTTGTTGGCATCCCATCTCTGAATCGGGAGTCTAGGCCATGACGTCTTGCTCAGAGCTGACATACCCAGCATCCTGAGAACCCAGAGGGTGCTGGGGGTTTGTGCAACGTTAAGGATGTATGAAGGTACCTATGGGACGTGCAGGTGAAAGGAACATTGCCAGAGGCCGGGGAACGTGGGATTTGTTCCTGGCTCTGTGACTTTGAACAAATGTTTCAGGTTCTCAGGACATCGTTTTACATACCTGCAGTGAGTGTGTACGTTTGCATGTGTCCATGTGCAAGTGTCTGTGTGTGTGTGTGTGCGCGTTAGTAAAAGGTGATCTCTCCAACTCTGAGCTTGAACAATCCTCGGATTGGGATGCAGCTGGTTATTAATAGCTCCGGAATGCTCCGTACTTTAAGGTTATGTAACGATTCCAATTAGATTTCCATACACACAGTAAGGAGAACTAGTCATGATAAAACATGCTCTTTATTACCCTAAGTGGGGACTCTACCTTGAATGTGTGATGATGGGGCTTTCATCCTCAAGGCAATTATGCCAGTGTCCCCAGCACCGTGGAGTCTGACACCCATCCGAGAGGGCTCAAGTGAGCTGTGACCCTCTCTAGGGTCCATGTGGCTGGAGCCGCAGGAGCCTGTATGTAATTTGGGTCATTGGGGTAGGAGGAACATGACGTTCTGTGTGTGTAACTTGAGGTCCCGGAGACTCTGAGGCTCTGCCTCCATCTCAGGCTGTTCCTGGAAGGTAAGGAGGGGAAGTATGTAATTACTGTTTGCAGTTGTTTTGAAAATGGAAAGTACTTTAATTAGAGCCTTGAACTCAGCTGAAACTGAAAGATGTTGAGAAGTTCGTAGATTTGGCAGGGGTGTTTTTGCCGGGTTCTCTGTGCGGGCTTCCTGGTAACACTTGAAGTAGTCTGGTGTCTGAGGTCGGGCTCCTTAGCAGATCCGCAGTCACCAGCAGGTACAGAGGGTGGGGAAGGAGATGACGGGGAAGCGAACCAGCGGTCCTCAAACACCCCATCTTCTCTGCAGAGGAGACGTCACCAACCTCCCGTTCTAGATGAGGAGCCCGGGGCTCGAGAGATCGTCCCCTGGAGTGTGTCGCTCAGACCCGCACAGTTAGTGAATTCCAGAACCACACAGGATTTCAAATTAAGCCACCCGCACCACCCCTTGTTTGCCACCATCACTGCAATGTGCCTGGCAACCAGATTGTGTCCTTTCATCCCAAATTTCTAAACAACACCATGGCACTGAGAAAGCATGCAAGAATTTGACACGGGTGACCTCTGGGGGTGATTTGACTATTCAGAGAATTTTGAATTTGCTGGGATTTTTGTTAGGATTTTTGCTGGGATTTTAACTCCGTGCCAGATGTGTTAGATTGCGGAGGTGTTTAGAGATAAGCCAAGTGTTACTCAAAAAAGGGTTAGTGTTGGTAGTTCTTTGGGGAAGCTAAAATAACTCCCCTAGGTCTTATGTCACCCTGGGGTTCTGTGGGAAGTGATCACACGCTGGCACGTAGGACATTTCGGAAGGCGTTGCTAGCCTGCACCTCTTAAAAGGGCCCCAGAATCAAAATTATGTAAGAGAAGCTTTTCAAAGGAGTGTGACTGCTCCTCCAAGATGCCACACAGGTTAATCCTCCCTAAACAATGAGCCAGAAGGAAATAGGAGGAACATATACCAGAATTTCAAGGTTCGGCTGCAGCTTTTAAGAATTTCCAGGACTTGGAGGAAATGCAGGTTTTGAAGAACTTTTCAAGCCAGCAAATAGAGATGCCTTTGTCACAGGCTTTTCCAGCGGCCAGAAGTCCACACAGGTTTGTAGGGCTGCTGCTGGCCTTTGCCGATCGGCCTGCAGATCTGGATGAGTGGCATCTATACCCAAACAGGAGGCACCAGACACAGGATTTCCAGGTCTAAGGGAGTCACCGAAGTCACCTGTCCCTACATTCTAGTAACGATACTCAGGCTGGTTCCTTTGTCCTCAGCTTAAAATCCTGCCAGCCCTGACACTGGCCTTGCCCGCGTCATGTGAGTGACTCTTGACAAACGACCCTCCCTCTGTCTCTCCTGGATTACGGAACTGCTTATCTGCCAAGAGCTTCCAAGTTTCCTGATAGTTGATTAACGGGATAAAGCAGACAGAATGTGTTGGAAAACTCCATTGTGATTCATCTGTCGTCTGTAAGATACCAAAGCATCTTTGTGGCCAGCACAATTTTTTGATTCGATGAATTAGAAATAACATTGCATGGCCCCC